GGCCTTTCCCCAGCAACGGCGCGGCAGTTTTTTACATCGACGGTGGCGCCAGTTGTGGACTACGCCTCCAATGTCTGGATGCACGCGTGTAAGGACAAGGCCATGGGGCCGATCAATCGAGTCCAAAGAGTTGGAGCACAAGCCATTGTGGGGACATTCTTCACCGTCGCGACCAGCGTAGCGGAGGCGGAGGCCCACATTGCCACCGCGCGGAACCGTTTCTGGAGACGGGCCGTGAAAATGTGGACGGACATGCATACCCTTCCTGAAACAAACCCGCTCCGCAGAGGCACAGACCGGATCAGAAAGTTCAGACCATATCATCGCTCGCCGCTGTACCAAGTGGCAGATGCGCTTAGGCACATCGACATGGAGACACTGGAAACAATTGACCCGTTCACGTTGGCCCCATGGGACGAACGCGTACAGACCAATATTGACGGACAACATGAACCCCAGACTGAAGCGGGCGGGTTGATGCAGATCGCGGTCAGTAGCTCGGCACGGAACGAGCTGGTGGGATTTGGAGTCGCAATCGAGAAACAGCCACCTCGAAATAGAAAATTGAAGCTCAAAACGCTTTCCATCACATTGGGCGCGAGGGCAGAGCAGAACCCGTTCTCTGCGGAGCTGGCAGCCATGGCATATGTGTTGAAAATGATAGTGGGAATCAAGGACTACAGGACTACGTTGCTCACAAGCAACAAGGCGGCGGTGCTCACGCTAAGAAACCCCCGACGACAGTCTGGCCAGGAGTTTGTTTGTCAGATGTACAAGTTGATGAGAAGGTTGCGGAGGAATGGAAACCGCATCGAGTTCCACTGGATCCCTACTACCGACGACAACAAGCTGTTAGGTCTGGCTAAAGAACAGGCCAGGTCTGCAACACAAGAAGATGCTCTCCCACAAGAACACGTCTCGAGGATGAAGTCGACAACATTGAACATCGCACGGTCCCAAGCAGTCCCCAGCAGTGAGCTACCAGAGAACATAGGAAGACACGCAAAACGAGTAGATGCCGCACTGCCAGGCAAACACACTCGGCAGTTGTATGATCGCCTAACGTGGAAAGAAGCGAGCGTACTGGCCCAACTCCGAACCGGCATGGCTAGGCTCAATGGGTATCTCAATCAAATTAATGTAGCAGAGACGGATCAATGCGATTGCGGACAAACAAGCGAGACCGTGGAGCACTTCCTCTTCCGATGTCGGAAGTGGATGGCGCACCGGACGGAAATGTTACAATGCACGCAGACTCACCGAGGAAACATATCTTTCTTCCTGGGCGGAAAACAGCCTTCTGATGATCAGAAGTGGACGCCAAACCTAGAGGCAGTACAGGCCTCCATACGTTTCGCCATTGCGACGGGCCGACTCGAGGCCACTTGAACATATCGACCAACATAACCCCCACCCCTTCTTCCGACCCTACTTACCCACCACCTCGTGCTACACATGGTAGACGCGCTTCAACTGCCGAAGATAGGATGTTGAACACTTGGAGAAGCACCTTCAAGCCAGCCTACTAACCCACTTACTAACCCACGAGAAACTCGCTGCGATACTGCTTTCTGGAAATGTTATATGTTATAAGGTTTTATGTATGGGCTTTCAGGAGACACAGCATACACAGATGGACATGTACAGTAGATCAGTGATAGTTGCCCTTTCGGCTCAGCCGCCGGGCGTTAATGAATTGTTTGTTTGTTTGTATAAGCCATCCCAAGGGATCCTTGTCGGAGGTCCAGAGCCTTCCACAGGCTGGCCTACCTCAGGGCTCGCCCCTGACCCCGATCCTATTCCTCTTCTTCAATGCAGACCTCGTACAAAGACAGATCAACAACCAGGGTGGAGCGATGGCGTTTGTGGATGATTTTACCGCATGGGTGACCGGGCCAACCGCCTAGAGCAACCGGGCAGGCATTAAAGCAATTATCAACGAAGCACTCGACTGGGAGAAAAGGAGCGGAGCGACTTTTGAAGCAGACAAAATAGCCATCATACACTTTGCTCCCAAGGCTTACAAATTGGACCACAGGCCTTTCACTATCAAGGGACAAACCGTTGAGCCTAAGGATCATGTCAAGGTCCTGGGCGTCCTCATGGACACGAGACTCAAGTACAAGGAACATACTGCGAGGGCAGCATCCAAGGGCCTGGAGGCCGCGATGGAGCTTCGACGGCTTCGGGGTTTATCCCCAGCGACAGCGCGGCAGCTATTTACATCGACGGTGGCGCCGGTCGTGGATTACGCGTCCAATGTCTGGATGTACGCGTGCAAGGATAAGACCATGGGGCCGATCAACCGAGTCCAAAGAGTAGGAGCGCAAGCCATTGTGGGAACGTTCCTCACGGTTGCAACCAGCGTCGCGGAGGCGGAGGCCCACATAGTTACTGCACAACAACGATTCTGGAGACGAGCCGTGAAGATGTGGACGGACATACATACCCTGCCAGAAACCAACCCTCTCCGTAGGAATACAGCACGGATCAAGAAATTCAGAAGATACCACCGTTCGCCGTTGTATCAAGTAGTAGACGCGCTGAAGAACATTGAGATGGAAACACTGGGAACCATCAATCCGTTCACATTGGCACCATGGGAAGTACGTGTACAGGCTGGCGTTGAAGCAACTCCGCAGTCACCGACCGTACCAGGCGGGTTAATGCAGATCGCAACCAGCAGTTCGGCACGGAACGAGCTTGTCGGATTTGGGGTGGCGATCGAGAGGCAGCCACCTCGGTATCGAAAACTGAAACTGAAGACCCTTTCCGTCACATTGGGTGCAAGAGCAGAGCAAAATCCGTTCTCTGCGGAGCTAGTAGCGATGGCACATGCATTGAACATGGTAGTTGGACTGAAGGATTACAGGATTACACTGCTCATGAGCAACAAAGCGGGCGGCTCTGACACTAATGAATCCTCGACAACAGTCAGGCCAGGAATTTGTCTGCCAACTGTACAAGTTGATGAGAAAGCTACGGAGAAATAGAAACCAGATCAATATCCGGTGGATCTCAACGAGCGAAGACAATAAACTGCGGGGTCTGGCTAAAGAACAGGCCAGAGCCGCGACACAAGAAGATGCTCTCCCGCAAGAACGCGTCCCGAGAATGAAGTCAACAACACTGAATATCGCACGGTCCCAAGCAGTCCCCAGCAATGACCTGCCAGTGAACATAGGGAGACACGCAAAACGAGTTGATGCAGCACTCCCAGGCAAATACACCCGGCAGCTGTATGACCGATTATCGTGGAAAGAAGCGAGCGTGCTGGCTCAACTCCGAACCGGCATGGCAAGACTCAATGGATATCTCTATCGAATCAACGTAGCAGACACGGACCAGTGTGCGTGTGGACAAGCGAGAGAGACCGTGGAGCACTTCCTATTTCGATGTCAAAAATGGACGGCGCACCGGACGGAACTACTACAATGTACCAACACCCACCGAGGAAATTTATCCTTCTTCCTAGGAGGAAAGTCGCCTTCTGATGATCAGAAGTGGACGCCGAACTTAGAGGCAGTACGGGCGTCAATACGCCTCGCCATCGCCACGGGCCGACTCGAGGCCACCTAACCATACCGACGAAGATAAATCACCGCCCCCCCCCCCCCCCTTCCGCCGATCTAACCCAACAACCACCTCGTGTTACAGATGGTAGACGCGCTTCAACTGCCGAAAAAGGATGTTGAACACTTGGAGAAGCGCCTTCAAGCCAGCCTACTAACAAAATTACTCACCCACGAGGGTCCGCTGCGATACGGACATTTGAGATGGCATATATTGCAAGGCTTTATGTATGGGCTCTGAGGAGACACAGTACTATATATATTATGACATGTATAGTAGATCAGAGATAGTTGCCCTTTCGGCTTAGCCGCCGGGCGTTAATAAATTGTATGTGTCTGTACTGAATCTCGTCAATTTCTGTCTCTGTAAACCTCTCCTTCATCTATCTCAACTCATAACGAGAGCTAGGCTGATCTTGTGGAGAGAACATTCGGTAAGCTAAGTTTAGGGTTTTCGTGTTACTCCACGGATTCCGCTCGCCACTATCGTTCCTACTCGCCCATATTTTCTGCTGATAGCTGGTACCCACGTAAGCTGAACATGATCCTCAGGCAGAACTTCGATCGGGTCACTATGACTGACACTCCATTCCATCAAAATTTCTTTCAGCCTCCAGAACGGGAGTCCTGGGACCAAGATTCTGGTATTCCCTCCTACCCCAGAATACTTCCAGAGCCCTTATGGCTCATGGTCAAACTACACCCGCTTTCCGTCGTTCTCGATTATGAGCCTAATCCCGCAGTCCAAACCCGACCGGACACTGTGCTGGCTGAATGATTCGATATGTAGCTCCACTCTGGAATTCTTGGCAGCCCATGTACTCAAGTAAGAGGCCGAGGGGCGTACTAAATACACATTAAGGCTCTTCAGACCCTTATTTGCACTTTTTGGCTGCCTATGGCTCGTATAAGTCCTATCGTTTCTGATCTCAATCGATCTTTTTCCGTTCAAGCCTGAGGGATCATCGAGCTTTACTGAATCACATGCCACAAGCATCTTGTGCCCCGCTCCAGCCAGTTTCAGATGCATGCATCGTACTACATGATTTCTCGACGTGGGAGGGTATGATTCGTTACAAATTGCTGTTGTATCTCGAACAACTTGCAGCGCTCTGGGATCCTTGCACCAGCTTAGATGTTGACTGGCGGCTACGATTGTGGCTGAATCTCGACTGCTCTGATGAAGCGCAGGGTACCACCAAACAAATTGACAATGTGTTCGATGTGGATAGGATGAACGAAAATTTGCGATCCTACATATAGCTATAAATCCAGCGTTATAAGAAACTTGGATACTGAAAATTTGTCTCCCTCTTTTATCGGTCCCGTATTTTAAGTATCCCTTCACGAACTGCATACTTACGATGTCTGGTGAGTCCCGTCTGCTAGCTGAAGTCATACACAGAGCATATCGTTAACCCCCACTTAATGATAGCATCGGAAATGCCACCCGCCATGCACCTAGAATCGGAGTCTTCGGGTGGGCATTGTATTGCAGAGATTAAGGAAAATACTTCTCTCGTGGCCTCCCTCGAGAATCTCAATCTCAAGAGCGATCAATCTCCATACTTTGTTGATACAGAAGCGAAGGTTGCCAGTCTTGTTGGGAGACTCCAGAACTTGCCTACCAGCCCGCCGTCTTTGTATATTGACCTTGAAGGAGTCGATCTCTCAAGATACGGTAGCATTTCGATCTTACAAATTCACATCCTTCCACTTGAAGAAACGTATCTGGTCGATATACATTGTCTCCAAGAGAAAGCCTTCTCAAAAATGGCTTCCGACAAAGGCCATAATTTACTGGATATATTGGAATCACCCCTTATCCCTAAGGTCTTCTTCGATGTTCGGAACGACTCGGATGCACTATTCAGTCATTTCAATGTCAAACTCGCCGGAGTCATTGACCTTCAATTAATGGAACTGGCAACCCGCTCTTTCTCGAGAAGATATGTTAATGGCCTGGCAAAATGCATCGAAAGGGATGCTCGTCTTACGACTTATGAAGCTCGATGTTGGAAGGCATCCAAAGAAAAGGGGCTGGAACTCTTCGCCCCTGAACGTGGGGGAAGCTACGAGGTTTTCAACGCCCGCCCTCTTCCGGACGACATCAAGGAATATTGCATGCAAGACGTTCAGTTCCTGCCCAAGTTATGGGTGCAATACCATCGGAAAATTTCCCCGTCTTGGGCTAGAAAGGTCACAGCGGAGAGCGCCAATAGAGTTCTACTTTCACAAACAGCCACCTACGATGGAAAAGGGAAATGGAAAGCTCTAGCGCCTGTAGGTTGGTGGTGATTTTGGGTTATTCGATAATAAGACCTTTCCTACAACAGAGTATACTTTATAAGACAAATTTACCCTCGTAAGATTCAGCTCAGTGAAGCCAGTCCTATAGTGTAGAACAAATTGACAGATCATGAACCAAAAAATAAACTTGAGCAGACTCTTCTGGCCAATCTTCACTGTTGAGCGCGATTGATGCTCGATTTCGTTCCTGCGATTATTCTTGATCGTTCGATCGCTGCATTCGGCTGCATCGGCCATTTGGGGTGTGATTAGTGATTGGCTCTCTATCATATCGTGAATAAAGCGCAACTTCGATGGGGAGAGTCTCGGTACTATATTGATTAGACGTGAGTTCTGGGATTAGCAAAAGTGGTGATTGCGAAAGAATGGAGATGCCAGGGAAACAGCATGGATGGGAATGGTGGGGCTGTGTATCAGCATTTCGTGTAACATAAAATATTATACGTAATATGATCGTCCCGGTATTAAATTCAATCTATTCTAAGAAACTGATTGTTTACGCCTATATCCATATCCATTATGGAGGCAGAGATCCTGTATCGCAGATCCTGTATCGCATGACAAGCTATGGGGATGACAACTAGAAGCCAGCGGGTAGGGCTGAACCCTCAGCTTCCAGACTCCCCAGCACGTCGCCCATCTCCCGTCCCCGAAGCCGCAAACCCCGCAATCTCACCCGAATATCCCAACGTTGAGGACTTTTTCTCGCCGAGGATGATTCTCATGATGAGGACGATTCTCACTTCGAGGATGAATCTCACGATGAGGATTACTTTCTCGTCTCAATAGCCTACGACTACTCCACCATCACAGCCAGAGCTCGTTCGTTCCAAGGAATAGTGCTTGCTGGGGCCACTCCGCTCCAACTGGCCCAGAATGGCTTCTATTACCGACCTTCAGGAGTCAGCAATATGGCATGCTGTTTGCCTGCCAATCGACCAAGCACTTATCCACCTTCCAATCCACCCCTTTCGAGGAAGTGCAACAGCTACACGAGGAAGACTGCGTATGGCAGATAATCTCGTGCGATTTAAAACACCACCTCGGAACTCCCAACAAACCCCCCTCCTCAACCACCGCATTCTCCTCCTCTAAACGGTCGACTCCTACCGCCGATTCCAGTACACAAACTACAGACTCTAGTACAAAGTCTCAAACTCAATCTACGCCGATTACATCTACTACAGCGAAGGAACGGTTGAACAACAACCTGGACTGCCATTCTAATCCGCTACCCGCCACAACAGACCTAGAGCCTCAACAACCTCCAACAGCCCACTCTCCCCAGCTTCATCAAACGATACCTTCTATCACCTCCTCGCCCCAGAACCAACAAACAACCTATGCTTCCGTCCTCCAGCGACCTATCACATCCATACCGCAACCGACTCCTTCAGTGCAAGAACCTTTTCTTCCCGCCAACCCCATACTCACAATTGAAGATCTTCATCTTCGGTTTCATAACAAACCGTCACCGTTCCAGCTCGAGAACAAGACAAGCCAACGCTCACCCAAACGAACTTGGAACAAATCCGCATCTATCCCACATTCACTGTCCAGATTCTTAGCTTCTGCTTTGCCCGCGTTCTCACGGTTCCTGTATGAGATGCAGCCAAAATCGGATACGTCGTATCCGTCTCATCCGCAATTCCACTATCGCCGCGCCATGAGGGCAGCCTAACAACGGGAGCGGCAAATGGCCACGATAGGCCGTGACGAGGCTCTAAGTTACTGTCAGAAAGTGGATCACTCTATATGCACATACTCGGATACATAGTCGTCGTATACTGCATATCGCTTTGCGAGGGGTCAGTGTAAATGAATACTACTACTACTACTACTACTACTACTACTACTACTACTAGCTGTACGCTTAGTGCGACTTAGACTTCTGCCATTTATGTACGACACAGCGTAGGAAGAAATTTGAAGCTGCTCCGGAGGCTTGGATGTGAACCTCGATGGAGCTATATGCCGTGGGAAAGACAGCATCAACAAAATTGATAAGCGTTACGTAAAATACAGTCTATCTTCTGCAACTATACCCAACGGCACCAAAAACCCTCAGCTCATGTTCTGCTCTTAATGGGGCCTTCTGAGCTGAAGAGTTAATTTGTTGAAATATATCAGTCGTTTTAGGCCACCGCGCAAGAAGGCTTCATATTCGCGTAGAAATGCTTCACGGATCATGTAAATTATAGCACTGAATTATGCGAGATATCCAGAGCGGCTCGGTTACCAGGCATCTGACAAAGATAGTCCATTTGAGTCTGAATAGGTCGCTCTCATTGAGCTCCAAGCTCATTAAAGGCACGTACAGGGCCTTCAAATGGCTGAACTGTAAATCACCGTGATGCTCATAAAAGAAATGAAAAAGAACATTACTGATACCTATCCAAAGTTAGTATGCATCATCATGACTGACTGGGTGGACACTACTTGCTACGGTCCTGGATATGTCGTTCCCCGCAATACCCATCATAAAACCATGTGACAAAAATCATCGAACAACTTTTTGGTTCAAGCGCCTGAAATGCGTCTTGATAAAGGTGCTTCAAGTCCGTAGAGTGAGAGTGTGGTGCCAGGTACACTAGGGATGACAGAATGCCAATGGCAATACCGGTAATTGTCATCATCTTCTTTTCAATTTCTATTTCGATAACCCAAAAGATCAGCACATATAAAGCTTGCTTGTACTTTGGGCTTACCCGATTCCTCAAACGCAGTTTCTTTGTCCAACAAGTAATTTGACACTGCGAATCCCATGAACAATTTGTCAGGAATATGCAAATGATGCGGATGCGCCTCTTTCACCATTAATAGCTGCATATGTGCGGATCGCGATAGCGGTTTTATCCACTCTTGCTCCGTGCTTGGAAAGTTCGAAGCGACAATGTCTGCAATCACTGGCTTGTTAAAAACAGACACAAGTGAAGAGAAGGCTTGGAACTGTTCGCGGGGCAACGATGACGGATAGGGGGGAGGGGGGGTAAATGTTTGAAAAGACCAAGGATTCCCTGAAATCAGTTTTAGCTCGGTGAATTCTAGAGAAACATTTTTATGGCCCCTTACATGTGCCATTCCAAATATTATGGTGCCCAGGCATGCGACTCAGCGCAGAACCTCTCGCGTAACTCAGGCCATTGCACGGGGACATGGAGTCGAACTGCTGGGCAGCAAGAGCATACGGAGAAGATAACTCAGCCATGAAACCAATGTTTTGTGATCCACGGTTAATAGCAGTGGATGAGGCCGAGCAGTTGGGGCCAAGATTAGGCATCACAGGGGGTGAGTCCCACTCGTACTGAGCCATAGTAAGATGAGGAAAGTTGTCTTGGAACTATGTAGGCTTCAAAGGAAGGTGGGATGTTGCAGCTCAAGGGCTGGTCTATCCTCTTTATTTAAACTCTCCTTGCATAGATGCACGGGCCCCTCTCGTGAAAGAATGAACTCGTCATATTTCACAGTGTTATCAAATTTACCTACCTGGCCGAAAACGGCGACGTGTGGGGCTCGCGATCTGTCAAGAGCACTTCTGGGAAGTAACGAGGTCAAGTTTAAATTAGCTATCTTGTTATGATCCATAACTTCAAGCTAGCTCCCACTTAAAACGGGGCCTATATTTTCCTTTACGAGTGCTATAGTTGATGGGGACGAGAGGTTGAAACAGGAGGACGCGATATTTACTAGTGTCCTGCCTTTGCCAAGATCTCACTTAGGAATTGAAGTGCTCACACCGGTCTGATCATAGCTGATAAAGGCGATCAAAAGACAACAGCGTGTTTTCTGGTTTTTCATATTGCCAAAAAACTTTTAAAAGAAATTCAATACAATATTCCTTTTTCCATCTGTCAACTCGGCCCCGAGAAAAGAAAAAAAGCTCAAGCAAGAGCTTTCGGTGCTAATATCTGTTGGAGTTGAGCCATACTCCTGAAAACTTCCATTGGTTACTCAAATGCTCTGCACTGGCTCACGATACCTTGAAGAACCACCGATATTGGCGCCCTGCTATCGGTCACTTGACTCAACGAGCTCAAAATTTCGGTGAGTTCCCCCAATTTTCAACTTCAAGTCTGCCTAGGGTGTTATCCCGATTTTGAATTGTTTGACGATTTCGTGGAGGGATGTCACCATGATCAATGGTTCCTCCATATCGAATAGTCGCTGTGTGACGTTTTGATCCTTGGTAAAGCAGTGTAGGAAAAGAGAAAAGCAAACGCTGCTGAGCGAAATGCGGATTTCCGTTACGCAAATGTGATACGTGAGAATAAGCCCCGTGGCTGGTTCGAGTTGTCCAAAGCCCCTCACCAAGTCAATGCCTGCTTTATGTTGAGGGCAGGGCTAACCCTTCAAACGCTTATAACGTAAGACGAAGTCGAAGATGACGTTAATCAACGAATTAATTTCCCTGATCAGCAAGGCAAGACAAGCAGACTGATCGTGTTCACGGGAAACAGTACAAGAATAACTTTGCGCAGGTGCTGTAATATCTCCAACTTGAGAGGGGCAGATCTGAGAACAGCACAGCATTGAGCGGAGAAAGTGGACGCTCATCGGAAAACATTATTGTTGATTCATGTGTCTGTGCGCAATCCCATTGTAATTCGCTCCAATTTCGATCAACCATGTACCCTTTGGTATATTTGATTGGCCAAAGTTTGTCGTCGTGACTGAGTCTTGTTACACTGCATGTGACTCGTTAGTTATCGTAATTAGACCTCGCCAAGCGTGGGTTTGGGTTGGGTTTTCAATTTCTTTACCCGCCCACGGGTAGCCCACCGCGGGTTTTGGCCTTCATGAACCCGCCCGTGGGTTCTTGGCGGGTACCCGCGGGTTACCCAAAATACCCAAAAATATGGCTAAATCGCGAATAAAACTGATTAGTCACTGTGTGTAATTTTTGTATTTTATAACTGTCACGCTTTTGGCTGTGTGTTACGCTCAAATACTGCCCCCTCATCATGTGTCAGAAAATATATATATATTCTGCTTATCTCGAGGTTTCTCTTGACAGTCTTTCTGTATCTCAAGAGATCTCAAGCCGTATCGACGAGCTTATGAAAGTTTAATGGAATCCAAGCTTACTGCGTTGTATTCATTCGATTATATTCAACTTGACGCACTTAAAATTAGCCATTGGAATGTTCTCAGCGTCCTCAAGTCGCGCGGGTTTTGGGTTGGGTTGGGTTTTGGGTACCCGCGGGCTTACGCGACTCAAGAATAGATAGATCCAAACGCACGACGCGACTCTAACAAAAATCCACATTCAAGCACACAAGATGGATATTTTTATCTTCAACTCCGATGGCACAAACCATCAACATGGCGGCTTCTTCCTCGTCATCGCAATCAAGGTATCAGGCTTTCAGCCCTCTGCTCTCTATTGAGCCATCGTCTGACGTTTTGTTGGACTCGGATATTCAGTCTTCTGTATGAGAACAAATGCCTCCTTCGTGTGCTTGATTGACTATTGCGAGACTCCCCACTGGTATGCTAAGATAGCCTACAGCCTTTCACCGAATCCCGCGAGAGCTACGACATAAATACTCGAAGACCTCCGGCGACGCTAAGACGCGTGGGACCTCAACGCAGAAAGAACTGGATTTTGTACGAGTTATACCTGGAGAGAGAATTTTTAGGATGGTGGGAGAAAACCGAATATGGCCACAAGCTAAACGGGGACGGTCAGTCCCAAATCAAGTGGTCTACCGAGTCGCGTCATGCCGACGCTTGGAAACACTTTGACCAGGTAGCCGATATCGATTCTGGGCGCCCACGAGTCCTTTGTAAAGCCTGTCTTACTTTGCTTGATCATCCACAGTACAAAGGCAATGGGACAAGTGCTATGAGTAGACACCAAAAGTCAAATTCCTGCCGCAAGGGAAAGAAAAGAGCATCTCATCAAACACTAATCCCCGATTCGTTGCAAAACCATTCCATGAGGGAGTCGGCCAATGTGCACAAGGTAACAACATTCCAACTTGAGGAGCAGTTGTTAAAGACTATTACCTGTCTTCGGTTGCCATTCCAAACAGTGGAGAACCCTGTGTTCCAGAGGCTGCTTAACCTCGTAAATTCGGGAACTGGAGTACTGGAACTTCCGTCAGCAAAAACCCTGCGAAGGCGACTCCGGAATGCAGTTACAGTTCAACAGGAGTCGCAATTGCAAGATCTGCCTGAAGACGCTAAGGTGTCACTCGCGTTGGATTGTTGGACCAGTCCATTCCAGCAAGCATTTATGGCAATCACAGTCTATTTCATTGACAAAGATTGGAATTACCGAGAAATGCTCCTTGGCTTTGAACCATTGCACGGTCCCCACACAGGGAACAACCTCAGTGATGTTCTCCATCAGTTACTGAAGGAACGTGGACTCTTGGATCGCATCTTTAGCGTCACGACATATAATGCGTCCAACAATGAGACGTTGATCCGCGCTTTGCAAGAAAAACTGATCTCTACTGGCGCGATTGGCTCCAGGGAATCCATTATCCGGGTTCCTTGTATGGCCCATGTGATCCAGCTTTGCCTAAAGCAGCTTTTGGGGCATATTAGAGCAGCGCCCAAGAACAAAGAAGTAAAGACCTTTTGGTCTGATACTCAAGTCATCGGTTTAAGAGACTCAGCAAGCCACGGAGATGTGGCTCATACCCTGGCAAAGGTGAGTCTGGAGCTTCCACGAATGACTGTAAATATGGGCGGAGTACTGATCAAGGCAGATTCGGTCATTTGCGGTATTTGTCAATGCAAGCCCACAACGGCGAGATACATTTTTATGTCTTCAATCAGGCGGAACCCGGCTGTTTCCGTTGCACGATGTTCAAACACGCTGGAACTCCACTTTTTTGATGCTTCGCCGTGCGCGTCGACTAAGAAATATCATCGACAAATACTGCGACGATCATGAATACTCTCAGTTCAAGATTACTGACATTGAATGGCGGCAAATTGACTATCTAGTCCACTTGACCAAACCGTTCTTTCAATTCACCATGGCTCTAATGAAGACCAAAGACGTGACAATTCATAGCGTGTTCCTTGTGTATAGGAAACTTCTGGAGCATATCGAACGGTCAAATCGAAAGTTGAAGAAAAAGACAACGCCTTGGAAGAAGGACATGTATAGCGCGCTGCTCGTTGCGAGGCAGAAACTGAGAGAGTACTATGAGAAGACCTACCGTGACCACGGCTTTCTCTATGGCACGGGAGCTCTACTTGCTCCTCAATATAAACTATCTGCCTTTGATGACAGGGAGTATTCTATTTACCACGAGGATACTTCGAAAAGGTACTGTGAATACTTGAGAGCGTGTTTCACGCAGTATCAACAACAAAATCCTGAGCTATTGTTTCGTACAGTGCATCGTTCGTCGGCACTGCATAGTTCAGAACTTGATCGGCTACTTGAACCAGTTAATGACTATATGCTCCTCGAAGGGGTAGAGCATGACGAGGTGGATCGGTACCTCCGAGAAGGTATGGGCAACTGGCATACTACACTTAGACCACTAACTGATTTCTATAGCAAATGTTCCCGTGCCACCACGGCTCTATTGGAGAGAACATGAGCGTGAGTTCCCTGTGCTTTCTCGGCTGGCACGCGACTTGCTTTCGGTTCCGGCCACCGGCGCGGGGGTGGAAAGGCTTTTCAACAGTGCGCGAGACATCTGTCATTATCGTCGAGGGTCTCTTCATGAAGTGACTATTCAAGACTTGATGATGTATATGTGCTCAGAGAAATTTACACTGGAGGGAGAGCAGTTAGCTCGCCTGGAAAAGTCGACGGAGATTGAGGGTCAAGAGACAATTGAAGAGGATGAAGCGTTGAAAGGAAATGAAGAGGATGCTGAGCCGATCAGTGACGAGGAAGAGGTCGAAGAAAGTGAAGACATCGAAGGCAATTTGGAAATCGAGGCCTCATACCAAGTTGAAAGTATACTGGTAGAGGCTGACCGGCCTTCAACGCACAACCAGACGAACCATGAGGATGGAGACGTAAATGAGGTGGAAGAGGGGGAAGTAATTGAAGTCGATGAAGCTGATTTGCTTCCACCTCCAATAATACAATTGGGCGATAGAAGTCAGAAGAGATCCTCTGGTAGGGTAACGATGCCCTCAAGTCGACTGCATGGGTACGAGCTATATTAGTCTTCATGCACCAATCTCATTCCCTTTGTCTATAATATTTGTTCCCCAATCTCCCCGCTATAGATTAAGATACCCAGACAGTGGCTAAACCATCACGTAATCTAAAATTACTGCATAATTTAGTGCAAAATGATATGTCAACTATTTTTGCTTTTTCGGGTTATACAGGGTACCCATTTGGGTCTTGGGTCGGGTTTCCCAGATGACAACCCGCCCACGGGTATGCTGACTAAGACCCAACCCAGCCCGTGGGTTGGGTTTTCGTGGGTGGGTTTGGGCGGTGGGCGGGTTTTGGCGAGGTCTATTGTTTGATATGTGAAGCTTCAGTGTTGATCTTGTGGATGGGAGTTTTATTGTGTGTTGTGTCGGATGTGTTGTCTAAGATACAAGTGACTGAGAAGTCAAGTATATGAGTATGCACGTGATCCCAGCCTCATTATTATCCCAGCAACCGGGATATTTCAACAAGGTCTAGTGATGCGCCTATTCCGGCTTCACGTGACGGATTTTGTCGTCGCGGACGTCCATGCGAGATCAATTTCTTCAGGTGTTCATTTGCAATTGAGGACTGGCAATTACTTTGGCCCCATCTCACGGCTATGTGTCGTGATCTACGTGGACTTGCAGATGTGAACCCCGAAGATGTCATCAGACGAATCTACCATAAAGAAAGCCCTCGCATTGTTCTCAAGAAAGTAATAATCACTCTGCAACAATTCGAAGGACCAGTCGTAAAAAGTAAACCTGAAGTGATGCCAAATTCTTTGTCTGCATACCGTCAGTGTTGTAATAAAGGAAAATTGATTGTTCTTCTACTAGAAGGAATAGCTGAGGCTATTTGTGTGAGAAGATCAAGTTGATTTGTTATCAACTTGGTCCTTTGTATAGAAACTTCGGGATTAATCCTGATGTTGCGGTTTCGTACCTGATCTGCACAAGCCTCATAGTTACTTCTTCTTTCTTGAAACAGATTCTACATCACGACGCAATGCATTGTCGTCCGGTTCTTTAGTGACCAGCTCAGTCTGTTTCCTAAAGTTTAGAAACTAAAGCTTTAGCTCCTCATATGTTTGCAATCGACAACAGCCCTTTAATTTCTATGGCAGCCCCCATCTGACATTTTTGCGACCCAAAGAAAGGCGGCCAATAATGTCTAAAAAGCAAGATAGCTTTGCCACGCAGCCACAGTCGAGACCACCTCCACTGCTATACTAAAAACTCAAGAGAAAGGATAATCTGACAAACAATACAGAGATGATCCCTTGCCAGATAATTTCAGAAACGATACTCTCACATTCCATAGCTTAGGGAATGCGTGAGTACCGAGCATTCTCGGGTGCTGGCCATATCAGCGGCCTGGCGCAAACAATACCTTCAACAACACCTATTCACTGGAGCTTTATGTTTCCGCACTTGATCATTATAGAGTTATTATTCCCCAATTTTCAAAAAGCATAAGAGCAAAACTCATAGATCAATGTGCACTGCTGGAGTCATGGTTGTATTGTCGTAAGCCTTTCTACCTTTTTACCTCTGCCCTTTTGTCTAGGTCGAAGGGATAGAAGGGCGGAAATTTCGACGCACCACACCCCCTTCACAAATCCTTACCTCTTGCAGTATAAGGTATATCAAAGCCAGTACAATTGAACTGAGACCTAGAAACCAAAGAGCAGGCTGAACTTGAATTTTACTGTTAGCCTGTACTGGATAAGCGCGACTAGCCAGGCTACACAGACTATCCGCGCCACATAAAAACCAGACAGGATATATTTGGAGCAAAATTTGGATATTGCTAGGAAGAGATATTCTGCGTTCTTAGTTGGATTTGCGCAAGAGATGACTGGCCGCATTTCCATGGTCGGCGGCTGAATGTGATTGGTCGGAAGGTACATACGCTAACGGGAGGTCCTGCCTCGTATCCTCACCGATACCGCTTAGCAAATGCGAAAGCAAATCAGGTGTCGTCACTGACAAAGTACCAAATGCGTCTTCCCAAAATTCTATCTCGACTTATGGCCGACGTATATCTTGGCGCATGTAATCTGCGCAGCTGAAACTACAGATCTTTTACTGGGCTATATTGTAAGCGTATATAAAACATGGATGGCGCATAATGGAACCCGAGCTGAATGACCGCGGTTCGTCATCGAAATTGCGTGCTTTGGTCAAATCCTCAATTCATCCACGCCCGCCATATCATTCTCGAGATAAAGTAACACCGAGATTTCGTGCATCAATTCCGCAATATTCGTTCTAGTCGTCAACTGAATTGGTATGCTATGGAACCCCACGCCACATCCACCGTCCCTAGAAAGCCATAGAAATTCTTCAGTCCAAGTGGAGGATTCTTGCCCGTAAGATAATGGCTGAAAACTTTATTAAACCTTGGTCAAGTCGTGGATGTCGGAACTTTTGAACGTACCTCCTTTCACGCGCCATATAATAAGCAGTCTGGCAAGCAAAGTAATCCGCAACTCATGATTGATCACACCTTCTTATTGAATCTACGAGACACAATCTTTTCATATCCCTACTTGGTCCATTATACTAATATTCTGAGATGGATGTTTTTCAATGAATACACCCACCCAACTGTCCCAATGGGATAATTTGTCAAATGCATCTCCACTTTCATCTCTATGCAGACCAAATGAGACCCACCCGTCAGGCACGGTGAAATACTCTTCATTTGCGGCGAAAAGTCACACCCACGATCAGCTCGAGCTCTCCATTCTTTACCCCGCCAAACGAAAGATCACTCCGCGATATACAATGTCTTAAAAAGCTACGAAGACAGCTCTGATCAAGTACGAGTTATGAAACGGCTCTTGTACCATGATGGTACATAGCAGGGGGTACTACAGCTGCACTTCAGCGGTGAACAGCTTAACACATTCAGATACCTCTTATATCGTATACGAGAGAAAGGATCTACTTTATGACGAGTTATATCTATTGAGGTGAGCCCGTGGGAGAGATGTGTAATTTGATTCATTGATGAGCTGGTCTGATCAAAAGTACAATACGAAGAGAAGATGGAAGTACCAATTGAGACATCCAAACTCAAACCCACAGAGTGGGTTTCAAGTAACATGCATTTCGTTTCCAATATAGAAGAGAACAGAAAAGAGAGAGAGAGATAGAGAGAGGCCATTATATACAACATGATTCAGGTCAGCTGGAGAATGATAGGCGGCTTCCACAAGCCCCAGTCCTGCGATGAAGTTACGTGCGCCACAACGGATTGTGAAGTCTACTTTTTCGATAAGTTAAATCAATCTACAGGCTTTCATTTCCCAACAACTATCTTGCTGGGCTTCTTATGGACTGATCAGCACTCCGCAAGAGTCTGCAATGCGCTTGACCGCACCTTTGGTGAAGAGCATTGTGCGATTTTTATGGGGAGTAACTTTGTTGAAAATCACGGTCATTTTTTTCACAGTTGAACCGAAAGAAAATTCAGCCTTTTGATGCCACACTACACCCTGACCTTTGGTCCAGCGGTCGCAGCTCCAGTTAAATCTTGATGCAAAAACTTGAATGGCAATTTCCGTGGGCTCACCACGCACGTGCCATTCGCCCTCTTCGGTCTTGTGAAGAGGAGACAGATTTGCCATGGAAGCGACATCCAAGAACTCTTGTAGTTGGCGGTTTCCCGGTATCAAATCTCCTATGATATCCGCAGCGGGCCCTTCGTTCTCATCGTCGAGCTGCACAGGAGGCACAGGGGCGTAGGAGACTTTTCCAACGGTCGGATTGAATGGCTCAATGGATGGGCCCACTGAGTACGTTCTCCGGGATGGAATCCTTGCCTTTTTGACAACCATCTTGCCCTGGGTCAATGTGCCAGTCTTTTTAGAACAAATGTCGGTGACAGCACTTGATGCCTCCAAAGAGTCTAATTTGCGAACAATCACGTTTCGTTCGACCATGCGCTTGGTACCGAGTGAGCTGGCTGGTTTAACAGACTGTCATCAGAACTGTGGCCAAAAGCGAGGTGATGCTTTTCCGGCATTGGACATGTTACTTCGGGTTAGTCAGTCAGCTGTAGCTAGGATGATAAGAAAGCCGTTTTACCGTCCGTCTCTCCCAGAGCAATCACTGATAAGGGCTTGAGAAAATACATGTCTGCGCGAGGAACAAAAGATTTCTTCAGATTTCAGACGAGCACTTCCTTCAACCTGTATGGAGAGTCGTTGTGGACATGTAAGATTCCAGTCTGGGCGCATCACCATCTCATTGATCGCCACCCGTTTGAGGAGAGGCTTTCATTGAATAAATCGAGGCTTGGGCTTGGTGCCAGGGTTTGGGCCGGAACCGGGTGTTTGATATTTAGCAGTGTTCTACCAGATGTGAAAGGATAGCTACTGTATCCGGCCCCGAAGTGGCGGGCAGGACGGTTCCTAAAACAGATACTGCCAAGAATACTATTCGTGCCAAGACTGAGTCCTTCCACCAATATCTGCATACCAGCTCCAGTTAACTCCCCGGCATGACTCCAGATTAAGAAATAACACGTGACTGAAATGGTCAAGACATTGGAAGCGATAGACGGATTCTTTTTTCCAAGGGTCGATCAGACCATGATTTCCTTCCAGGATAGACCCAAGGACGGAAGTTAAAGATTCTTTGGAGACCTAGTGCCCACCCTGGGTCATCCATCTATGGGTAGAGAACAAACAAATAATAAGCCAGGTCATCTGCCAGGCTATTCCTATCATGGTTTGGAAAGCCAAGCGCTTAGTAGAGGATGCCAAGTGCTCGTGCTTAAGTGCGTGCCTCTGAGCTATGGTCTAACGGTTACGTCAGTCTATTTCTACCCCGCAGCAAAGCACTTACTGTCACTAAACGAATGACCGAGGCGCGAAGTGAAGTATCTTGGTCATTCACTCAGTAAGATCCCTGTTTTACAGTTGGGCCGCGCAGTCGCATACTGTACCCCACCGCATTTTTCATCGCTTTTTGAACCAAGAGTTTATGCCCCAGCGCGTGTTCAAGGACCTCTCTATATTAAGTAAAGAGAGAATGTATTAATTTACAGAAACTCATGATCACTCACCTCATTGTATCTGACATTGAATGCAATCCTTTCGCATCCTCTACATGGTCCGAAGTATCAGTATTTTGAAGTGAAATCTTATCAATGGATACATCAAACGAATTCTTCCTATGGGATGACTTCTCAGACGCATCCCCACTTCCATCCCCATACAGTGGAGATGAACTCGATCCCTCTGAAACCATCAAATACTCATGCACTGCCAAACAACCCGCTTCCAAAGAACCTGATGATTCTATCTTTCATTCACCTGAGAAGAGGTACCGGAACGATATGTGCGATGCCTTGAAAAGTTACGAAGAGAGCTTTGACCAAGTACGACTAATGAAACGGGTATTGTATCGGGATGGCACCTAGCTGGACGCAGGGACCCTACTTCCTCGACTCGATAGTCCAGCTGGGCAATGACATTTGGTGCCTCCTCTTTCATACAAGGCTTCCTATGTCACAGCGAATGATTATGTGGAGAAAACATACTACGATTATGGATAACTGGCTGGATTAAAAGTACATAAGAAGACAAGCTCAAAGATGAGAAATGGTTCTGAAATGGTTCATTTGACCCTCCTTTTTGTAGGTGAGAACTCATGGATTGTTCCAGACAGGCGAACCCAGTCTCATCCCTCCAACATGGGATAGGGGAGTCCTGATAAAGTGCGGGTAGCCATGCTACTCTGCTTTAATTAGGCTGGTCATCGTTACGAAGAAGCAGCCAGTCCCTCTGATCCGCCCTGAGGCAAGAATCCTTCTTTTATGCACGCTATCATTTTAGCCAGTCGAATAAACGACTCGAATCTTATTTGACAACCTGTTCTCAAGTAGGTCGCGTAGTTTTACAGAGATGCTCAGCGACCATTTTTGGAAGACTGTGGTGGGTGGCGAGAAGAAGGAAGGTGAAAGGAATGTGATACTGTATAACAGGAGTTTGATCAACCATGCTAATCTATTTTCCGCTGATAGAATACCGAGTTTCATATCTATGAATGTGGCCAGTCATTACCTGCGCGGAGTCCATTTACGCGAGGGGGTTGTGTGGTATTTTAGACCTGGCTCAACTCGTCAAATTTATCTTCTTCAATTGGCCCGGTGCCTGAGAACGTCCTGATTACGTGTGCAAGATGCGGTGGCCACCAGAGACACACCGTTCATTCAAGACAAGAGCTTGGACTAACCCTACCACGGAAAACAGTCGCCGGCCTAGGTGGCATACTTGTCTTGTCCCAGGTAACTGGGCCATTGTCACAAAATCCACCAAGTCCACAGAATCTACGAAATTCACAACACTCGCCAAAGTGTGATCTAGAGTGTCTGCTGTGGGGCATTGATGCTCGCCCCAGTTACCTTCAACCAAATTGCTGACACGAGACAACAATGACTTGCCAGGAATATCATCGTACCGGTCCATCAGGTTCCATCGCTTTTTTGACGTTCAAAACAACGGAGGCCAATTCGTTGTCGCTTCTGAAAAGAATATTGACCTCATCAGCTCGACTTTTGCCAAGCATGTCAGTGATCATTGCTGAAAAACTTGCCGGGAAAAAGGAAGACGACAAAGCACGGCGGCCCAAGCCGTCAAAATGCGGCTCTACGAATCAAGTGAGAATATGAGAATAGGGGCACCCCGCAATTTCGATGCGAAAGCACCGGGAAGTCTGGTAATCTTATCTCAAAGTTAGTTGCATAGCTCATCGCTACATTAAGCTCGGGTAATTGCCAGATCGATGGTCGGCAGAAAAGGAAACGCTCAGTATAAAGGTTTTATGGCTACGAAGCATTACGAAATGGATAGTTTCTTGGGTTCCTGGCTTTTGGAAGGGGGCTTATCTAATGTCATTCAGTTTCAACTTCACCAGCGTTACGCCAACAAAGCCCCTTACTGGGTCGAGAAATCATCATCTCCAATGAATGCGAATCTCAAAAGCAGCACTAAGCCCAATTCAAGATCCGATTGAGCGTGGGGATGACGGCAAACACGGCAAACACGGCAAGTTGCCATCTTAGGGAAAACGATGCTGAATTTCAAGTTTCATGCGTATCGTTGGAACATCAAAAGTACCTCGCCAGATATATCTCTACAGCGTCATCGCGTAGAGTCTTATTTCTGGTCATAAACCCCCGTTCTGTTCGAGGGACGGCGCTTTTCTGGAGAATGAGCAGAGCAAGGCCGCATGTTTCAATTTTCACAATACCTGTAGCCAATGTGGTAGATGCACTCAACCGAGCTGTCTATACATATGAATTGTCAGTTTGTAGCTAAATCATGCGCGACTTTGAGTGACTCAACGAGAGACGGCGCGTTGACGCAGACTTACTCACAACGCAACAAGCTCTCATCGGCTTCAGTTTCAAATCTACGCCCAGCTTTGAAAGTGAAACGATGGTGATGACAACCCATCTCGTTGCAGTGATCCGGTGATCCGCTGCACATCGTTTTCAAGTGTTGAAATCGCGGTCGTTGATTCAACGTTGGAGCTTGAACAAATTTCGGTTAAACAATTTGAGAGAACCTTCAACGTTGCTTCAACGAATGTTTGCGCAAAGACTTGACGCCACGGCATGGCTCTAAAAAGGGAGTCTCTTTGAATGACTAGCCTGCAGTCGGCTTTAAGACCATCACCCCAGTAAAGGAATGAGTTCAACAGGCCGCACTTTGCACAGGCATCTTCAATGCCCCGCCACAGAAAGACAAGACTAACCCACATCCCGGTGGTATGAAAAGCCCCGTGTGATGAAACGTCCACCGGGAACCTACACATTCGAAACCCGTCACTCCCAATCTACGTGTTCAATATTGCCGAGGCAGCAGAATCGATAATTCTTTGATTTCTTATTCGATACCTCTTTTCAAACAAATATTACAGTGTTAAAGTGGCGGATTACAGGTCGATATGGACCCTGGAAGTCCACTGTTTACTACCATGACGCCAAGATCATCCACAACAACGTGTGGGATGGATAGGAAACACAATGTCCTCAGACTTGCCGATATCTCTATTTCCAAACTTTCGACTGAATTGACGAACTAATTGTTGGTGCTAATTTGCGGTGGTAGTATTGCCTTCGGCCGGGGTGAAGACTTGATAGCGTTCGCCTAAGCAAGTGCCCAGAGAGCCTTTTCTCAACTGCGATAACATTCGTGAGAGGAGGATCACCGTTGACCTGGACCACCATCATCCTCTTTGCCGGCCCTCATTTTGGCCCGTCGCAGCTAACGTTGGAGAATTCAGTGTCAACAAGATCTTCTCTTACGTTGCTCTGCATTTTACATTCTTACTGTAGTTGAATATGTCAATGATAAATTCCTGTTGTTGCTTTCACTCTAGCGCCTTTCCCCCGAGATCTTCCTTTAATGGCTTGGCAGTCTTTTCAAAGGTGAATTCCGCGATAGTGTAATTAGAACCGCCGCCATCATCATCTTAATCATATCCTAGCAGATAGATAGCATATAGACATAGTCTTTTGGGTGTTATTAGTGGATTTGAATGTGAAAGAATTCTCCCAGTTCTATGTACAATTGTACACAAGCAAATATTTACGTAGATCACGTTTGCAACATTAAGCCGCATATAACTGTGTCATTCTGAGTCCTCCACCGGAATTGAAGATTAATGGAGGGTGCCCATTAAGGCCGATGGGCGTAGTCTGTTTGTCGGGATATAGTTGAGGCAAATATAGGCTTCTCGGAAAATACGTAGATCCCAAGGGGTCGGGGTTTCCAAGAAGCGGCACATCTTACCCTGATCGGCCTCTCCGCCCATAGATTTTGTTCTGGTAATATGGGGGGTTAATCTTGGTGTACGTCATTATGCCTAAGGATGATAGGTAGATCGCTGGCTACTTTTGCTATGGGAGCAAGAATACTGGGGAATTTTGATTTAACACTTCCATTTGTAACGAATTGTTAACGAGACAAAGATGCGACGATAGAATGATTGCCTATTGAGACCAATTGTAACGAATAGATCACCGGCGCTTCTCCCCGAGCTTGCAAAACCAGTTCTAATCTTTGGAAGGGTTGGGCATTCCCGAGGTATGAGGCCACTTGCGGAAGAGGTCGGCAAGATGGTCAATGGGCGCCGCCAAAAGGTCAACAGCCGTCTCGTATGGCGGTTTGTCCGGAGCGCTGGGGTGAGAACGAGAAGGAACGAATACCTTAGTTCTTCCAAAAGAGGTGGAGTACTCCTCGCTTTCCTCCTGCGATAGGACTTCTTCCAGTTTGGGCAGGTCGTCCGCCTCTTCTTCCTTAATATGCTGAGTCAGATTATGCATCAGAGCCTTGAGGGTAGGCAGGAACTGAGAATCTGAAGACTTCAAACTTTGGAACTTCTTCAGTTGCTCTTTGACCTGCAATAATGTTACGGTACTATTATGACTCATGGGAATGCGCACGTACTGATTGGTGCTCTTGGCGATCTTTTTTGGCAAGTTCAACGCCGCCAGATACATACTCCTCAAAGGCCGGGTAGACAACAAGCTCCTCAGCAATGGAGTGGCGAGCCAGTTCCCACGTAAAGAGATTCTGCCATCTCGTCTTCTCCGTCTTCTCTGAGGCATTTATAATATTCTCGTAATATGACTCTATCTCCCGGTGATCCTTCTTGATCGAATCGCTGATGCGGGGTGCCATATTGATAGATGAAATCGCAAATGTGCGTCTGGTGGTAAATAGTACGAGCGGGTTAATACTTGTTCTGAGCCCACGTAACGGAAATGCCATGTTAGTAGATCCAAAAGGTCCGTTTCTACATGATATAGAGGGACCCCACCCTTAAAAACAAGATCCCTGTTTTGCAGTAATTAGTCAAAGCTTCCCAGTAGACTACGTACGTGATGGTGTTTGGGTCACAACCCTAAGAATGGATGCCATCTTCCAAGATCTAGAGGCAACAAGTCAAGAAAAGCACTCTAGGCTCAAACAAATTTACCAATCAAAGACAGTATATGTGTAAGCGTCATGGTGGCAAGTCACGGAAATTGGAGGAAGATCCTCTAGTTAAACTCTCCAAACACCTGTATTTGACGAACTAAACTCGAATGCTGGTTGCCGTGGCTGAAGAACTTGAAGAATTCAGCTAGATCAACCCTGGGATCTAGTTCCACCAAATAGACACAGGCTGATTCCAATCTGGCGAGCGTGAAACGGGTCAGGCGTTTTCTATTTACCAGCTTGAATGCCGTCATTAATTAAAGCTATTCACTGACCCGCTCGTGCGACCTTAGCAAGATGAAATCTCCGCATCTCATTCAGCGCTTAACTGTATCCTGGGATGGCGGGGAAGCTGATGAATAGGCCAAGCAATCGCCTATGTCATACAGTGTGAGCTCCTTGAATATCAAGGTGTTGGTGCTAGGTAGTTTTGAATCAACACCGTAGATCAGCAGCGTTGGCTTCAAAGCGTCAATTCTTGCTCCCACGGAGAATTTCTAAGCGAGAAATGAAGATTAATCCGGTAAAGATATGGATGATTATCTCCGAAAGGTGTCCCCGCGACCGACCGTTGCGAATGCTCTGAATACGTATGGGGTCTTGACGGGCTTGTACTGTACCCTAAAGTACGGTCAATGGTAATCTCATCCGCCAATATGCCATCTGCAAAATGCCTGCATACCAAAAGATCCTGCTTGTTCTCATTCATAGCCCTCTTCCCACAAATAGTGAAACAGATGAAAACCGCCACCGGTATCCTTTACCGGATGATTCTGATTGAGGGAGCCGTGGTTTCTGAACTTGCTTTGTCTAGGCTTAAACAGTAGGAATCAATAATCAAGAAACACGCAAGGGAATTGAGAGAGAAAGCATTTCCGGAGCCAATATTGTGACGTCATTCGGGTATCACTTCAGTCAAAGTGGGGGGCGTACAACTGGGCTGCCCTCTTATCCTGTCTATGAGTTTACGATCAGTTAAACCGTTCTTTTTATCGAAGATCTGCAGTGTAGCACGGAAAATTAAAGGCTGCAAAGGTGTAGAATATATAAGAGCGCCGAAATAAGATGACTCAGCCCAAGTAACTTACTTTTGTAAAGTGAAACGATCTTTTCTCTTAGAGGTCTAATTTATTTCCTGCATTTGCATTGGAATGGAGACCAGCAAAGACATTACATTAATCATGAGCTCTCGTGCTAATAGGATGATTCTTCTGTTACCTATCAAAACTCTACAAACCACGAATTGACCTACTCGTCCTTGCTCGTGCCAGGAATGATCGAAGGAATTATATGTGCTGTCTTGAAAGACTAGCTCTGTTGCGTAAGAAGCCTTAAAGAAATCTATGGCGCAGTAAGTATGCGAAAATCACATGGTAAAGCCTGGCTTTACTCGCATGTTGCCACAGACTTTGTCATGCTGACAGCAGCGATTTCCATTGATCTCTCCATTGATCTTTCTGCTGGCTTTTCTGTTGATCTTTCTGTTGATTTATCCGGATTGGCCTTCGATACAAAGGCCCTTTTGCTAGCCAGCAAGCAAGTACAGAGAAGAACTAGCGCGATTGTCAATATCCGCGATTATGACGAGTAGTCAGAGCTTACTTGAAGGGACTATGACCCAGAAACCATTGCAGAGGATAAAATATCCCCAGAATCTCTGAGATTCTGGCCTGGAGTTTGCGATATCAAGTACGTAATGGTCGAAAAGACTCGTCGCATAGTATAGGATAACACCATATAGTTGTCCAAGCGAAAAAATTAGTTGCACTGCATGGCGCAAAGGGTGATCTCGAATTATCCGAAACACCATTGCAAATGACAAAGGACCCCAGATAAAGGCAGTCACGCTCTCCATGCACAGCACGAAGGCACTTTGCGTTTGATAACGAGAGTCCGACAGTGAGTACTCTTTCCACAGCTGTCCAAAAACATCCGTCATAGCAGGCATGCGTCTAAAGTTGTATGCAAAATAACCTTCGAAGAAAAGGTGAACGCAGCCGCCTGTAAGGTATTAGCATCAGTGTCAATCACCAGGGATGAAGTGGTATTTTTCACATAACGCAAACCATACAATGGTCCATAAATCACCGAATGATGTCCTAGGATACAGTCTTATTGTCAAAATAAATGCAGACATGGCCACTGATACATATACATCCTGCAACGAAGATTGATAGTAAATTGAGGGTGCTGCTCGCGTTGGCTATGTACCCTCCGATGTCTTGTCGGACAGGGTAGTAGGGGTGTGCCATCAGGATCAGTTGAGATTGTCGAACATGGAAGAGCTTGAGAACTATTGTCGAGGCACTATTGGTTACAGGAGCTGGCAATATATAGATTAGTGTTATTGCGGCCCGATAGCTGATTGGCTTCTTGGATAAGGTGACGACACTAAGATAGGGGAAAACTTTCAGAAGCAAGAATATGTCTAAAAGCTTTTAAGATTCATGATTTGATAGGTTGGAAGTCCCTCGTCCGTATTTTTGGATCAGCTGAGTTGGCTGGCGCAGCAATTTGCTGGGTGTTCACGGAATTGGTGGGAAAAGTGAGTCTACCTAAGATCCGCGCAATGAAGAAAACAATAAAATTGCCATCCTTTCATTGGAGGACCGCCAGCCTTGACCGTTTATTCAAGCTTTGGATGATAATTTACGCTAATTTCAGTCATTCTTCAGGTAGACTATTCCCAACCCAGGACCCCGGAGCAGGAGGTGAGTCTCCATTCCGAGCGCCCTAGACACGTTTCAGGTGGCCTCTTACTGACGGGCTTCATTCGTGACGAAGGAGTTAGTAGTCTGATGGTGAATCAAATCCAGAAATCTGCGAGATAAGCAGGCTTATGCGCAAAATTTAACAAAGAGCAACAGCCTGTAGCCCCAACTACACTAGCAAGAAAGAATATGACAGGTTGAAAGAAGTGATAACTTGGCTAACAAACTGTGAGACACCCAACAAGGTAATCGGTAGCCAGACACACGTTACCACGAGAAGAATTGCTAGCGTCAATATTGCAGACAAACGTTAGTCGAACCTCTGATTTCGATAACCCTGCTCGAAATAACTCTTCTAAACCTTCTTAGCTACATACTCGTATTCTTCCTTCGGTATATCAGCCGGATTGTACCAAGTTTCCCCTTCTCATCCCAGGCTCGGCTTGTCTCCTATAAATCATCCTTTTATGACTTATTCCCACCCACCTTTTATAATGCCGTCGATTGATGACCGTACTCGGGAGGATCTTCTCAACAAGGAACGCGATCTCTGGGCTGCCCTTACATCCGCTGACCCAGCGCCGGCCGTCCAGAAAATGTGCAACTCCAAAGTTAATATGATATTCCCGCAAATTCCTATTCTTACCTTAGAGGATGAGTCTACTTTCAAGGACGCTTTGGAGCTACCGTTTCGCCGCTTCGAAACTTACCAGCTGAATATAGCTCAAACGATCATTATCGGACTTATGGCTGGTGTCATGACGTACGAGGTGCGCGCCATAAGGGAGGGGAGCGAGTATCGAGCCACGGCTTCAACTACCTGGTGTCAAGATTCCGATGGCGAGTGGCGGGTTGCTTGCCATCAGGAGACTTTACTGTAGAGTAAGGGTAGGGTACAAGAGCTACTTCGTTAGTCAAATGGCTAATGTTTCCGTTGTCTTCAAGGTAGTTGAAAGACTTTGAAAGACCACTGTCGTCTAGAGACCTCTATAATCCTCCTACACCTTCGGCCGCTATCACGACCATATTGATTGTGACACGGAGATTTGATCAATCTTTTTGAGCACCTCGCATAGGGCTACATGTACGGCGGAATTTATGACATTTGTACATGATAATGACTCCCTCACTATACCAGCCCTCAATTTGCTCGATCTGTACTTTTGCCTCTGGAAATGCTACGTCATCAGATCTGCCGAGAACCATGACTCAAGGATGAGCAGCGACAGCTTCAAGAGTCAAATGTGTGGCTAGCAAGCGACAGCGACATCCTTCTGTAGCTCTGCGATGAGCAGGCGCTGGTGTTGTGAGATCGAAAACGATCAGTTCAGGCCCTATGTAATGGTGTGGTTTCTGCCTTGCAAGCGCGCGATACTCAAGACTACCTACCATGTTGATGGGCCTGATGAAGTCTCAGCGTTGTTAAGCGTTCGTGGGCAACAACTACAATTGGAAAATTTTTCTATCAATTTGCATTGTCTCCTAGGTACCAGCGTCCGTGTTAGGGGAGGTACATACATACGCTGGTGAAGTTTCGTTGTACAGCAGTAGTAGTAGTAGTATTCATTTACACTGACCCCTCGCAAAGCGATATGCAGTATACGACGACTATATATCCGAGTATTTACATATGGATTGATCCACTTTCTGACATGAACTTAGAGCCTCGTCACGGCCTATCGTGGCCCATTGCCGTTTCCATTGTTAGGCTGCCCTCATGGCGCGGCTATAGTGGAATTGCGGATGAGACGGATCCGGCGTATCCGATTTTGGCTGCATCTCTGCTAGGAACCGTGAGAACGCGGGCAAAGCAGAGGCTAAGAACCTGGACAGTGAATGTGTGACAGATGTGGTTTTGTTCCGAGTCCGTTTGATTGAGCGTTGGCTTGTCTTATTCTCGAGCTGGAACGGTGACGGTTTATTGTGAAAACGGTGATGAAGATCTTTAATTGTGAGTATGGGGTTGGCGGGAAGAAAAGGTTCTTGGACTGGAGGAGTCGGTTGTGGTATGGATGTGACAGGTCGCTGGAGGACGGAAGCATAGGTTGTTTGTTGGTCTTGGGGCGAGGAAGGGATGGACGGTATCGTTTGATGAAGCTGGGGAGAGTGGGCTGTTGGAGGTTGTTGAGGCTCTGGGTCTATTATGGCGGGTAGCGGATTGGAACGGCAGTCCAGGTTGGTGTTCAACCGTTCCTTCGCTGTAGTAAATGTAATCGGCGTGGATTGAGTTTGAGACTTTGTACTAGAGTCTGTAGTTTGTGTACTGGAATCGGCGGTAGGAGTCGACCGTTTAGAGGAGGAGAATGCGGTGGTTGAGGAGGGGGGTTTGTTGGGAGTTCCGAGGTGGTGTTTTAAATCGCACGAGATGATCTGCCATACGCAGTCTTCCTCGTGTAGCTGTTGCACTTCCTCGAAAGGGGTGGATTGGAAGGTGGATAAGTGCTTGGTCGATTGGCAGGCAAAACAGCATGCCATATTGCTGACTCCTGAAGGTCGGTAATAGAAGCCATTCTGGGCCAGTTGGAGCGGAGTGGCCCCAGCAAGCACTATTCCTTGGAACGAACGAGCTCTGGCTGTGATGGTGGAGTAGTCGTAGGCTATTGAGACGAGAAAGTAATCCTCATCGTGAGATTCATCCTCGAAGTGAGAATCGTCCTCATCATGAGAATCATCCTCGGCGAGAAAAAAGTCCTCAACGTTGGGGTATTCGGGTGAGATTGCGGGGTTTGCGGCTTCGGGGACGGGAGATGGGCGACGTGCTGGGGAGTCTGGAAGCTGAGGGTTCAGCCCTACCCGCTGGCTTCTAGTTGTCATCCCCATAGCTTGTCCTATGCTCCGGTTATGTGGCTTCTAGTGGTACAGTCGATAGATCGTCCTCCGTAGCTACCTCGTTGTACAGCATGGATCGAAATCAGATTCACCACCTACACACAGAGATTCTTTCTCAATCCCTCTTTTGCAACCGTGCTATACCTATTACGGCTAAGCAAACCCCGAACCCATTTCTTGGCAGTATTTCAATACGATTTTAAATTACAGTATAAAAATAGCATCCGTAATAAACTTGTACGGTCTCTGGGCTTCTAGAACGTGGATCCGGCCAACAGGCAAACAAAAGGGGAATTCCCCTTGTCAGTGTGGTTATCTGTCTGACTTTGACTTTTCCCCTCTTTCACCTACCCAGCCTATACAGCAGTGACCACTTTGAAAAAGCGACCTGTATAGAGACAAAACTAGTTTGGTGAACGCTTCCCTATATGTTGTGTAACAATGCTGACCTTCTGATTGGGGCCTGTCCCCGCCAGACTGCGTGTCCGAAATCGTGCTGACGTGAGAACCGTTAGAACCGTTAGAACAGCGACGATGACTGTTGATTCGTATTACAACGGTAATGATCTTCGATCCCCCTATGAGCTCGAAGCGTCGGACCAGGATTCGCAATATGCCCCCACTCCAGGATACTTCGGTTGCACACCCAAGTCACGATGCGGACTCAGTCCTTCCCCCGGCTTTTACACCCAGAACGGTCTTGCGGAGGTATCCCAACGCGACGAGGAAAATCCCAGACTGCTTCAGCTCTCCGAGTGGAACGAGGAATTGCGAAATAATGAGCTTCCAGCAAGCTGCATCCAGTATATGATAGAGTGGAAGGTTATGCTGAATAGGAAGGTCATCTCACGAGACACAGAAGAGGACGTAGCCCTGACTCCGAGTGCCTACTGGCCGGTGCACTTGAGGCCCAAGTTGGAGAAGTTGCTAGAAGGGAAAACCTCCCGTGCAGGCAGGATTAGGTCGGATGATACCTCGATCGTTGTGTCGGTAAACGATCGTTCCCAGCGCGATCTGACGAAGCGATTTGAGAATCTCAACATCGATTGGACCGCTGTGGAAAAACAGCTACTTAGATGGGGGGAACTGTTTTGTCGAGGAAAGAAACTGAGGCTAAGTATTACCTTTAAATACATTGAGGATGACCACCTCCCCAGAACTACCTCGGGTAGGGTTGAGAAAAGAGGACGGTCATCTGTTACTAAGAGAATGCTCAACGAGCGAGATGCCCAACTGGATGCCGAAGAAAATGCCTCCGGAGAAGAGTCCGTCTGGCGGAGTGTCTATAATCTGATGCGCTGTCCTTCCTCATCATGCCACCTAGGCCGATATTGCTGGCAAGACCCTCACGGGAAAAAACATTATGGACTGAGAACCCATCATTCAAAACGTCTAATTGACTTTGTGGAGAAAGGAGGAACCGTACAATCCCATGATGACGTCCCAGACAATATTCGGGAAGACTTATATATGGAAGAGCGACACAGATTGGAGAATCAACAATCCAAGAATAACAAGATGACTGACACCCCGGGAAGTTGTCCTATCAATTTTAACTTTAATGGGGTACAACCTTCCCCTCAACCGGAGGCGCTCAATTCACTCGCAACCCCAGCAATGCTTTCATCACCAAATAGCCTATCCAGTGACGACTTTAACATTCCTGGACTTCGAGATGAGGCAGTTCGAGAGTACACCGCTTGGCATGAAACAAATGTCGGTGATGACTATTTGAAAGCGCAATTCCGGGGAGCGCGCGATGTTGCTCTGGCAAATGGTCTAGATCTTCAACTGATATATGAGGATCAAAACCCATCGTTTTTCATCGATCAGGGGATCGTGGTAGGTATTGCCCGTCAGTTTGTAAGAGATATCGTCAAATGGGTTCGGAGTGTGAGGAAAGTTTCATCGATAGAAGGAAGGGCGCAAGAAACTCTCTGAGGGCTTACAAAGGCGCTCGTTCTTACAAAGGCGCTCGTTTAGATTTTAGATTATTTTATTATTGAATTACCTGTGCTTCATAAGTTCAATCTACCCCTTAATAAACTTCTTTAGTAAAGCGTAGCATTAGACGTAACGTAGAATGATTAGGACATAAAGTAGGTTTGGTAAGCTCTAACATATATTCAACGCCAAGCGTTTTTAAATTTAAAGATTAATTATCTTCAATATCCACACCAGCATGTCTAAAATGGCCCAAAGCGCTTTGTTTTCGTGATCCAACAATTTCGATGCACCATTCAAGAAAGGTCGGAAACCCTTGTTCTGGGTCTTCTTCATACCGCACCCAGTTCCGTCTAATAAATGCTTTTAACTCGGAGAAGAACTCCTCGATAGGATTCAAGTCAGGGGAGTAAGGTGGTAAGTATACTAGTTTTACTCCTGCATCGGCGCAAATCTCTTTTATACGATCAGAGTGATGGAAAGATGCGTTATCCATAATTAGGACGGACTTTGGCTCAGGCCACCTTCCACAATGCCTCAGCAGCTGCTCAATAAAATCTTCGAATAGAGCGGCATCGGTAGAGCCTTGAAAAACCCGGGAGAGCACGATCCCATCCTGAGAATATGCAGGCAGTATCTGGTAGCGCTGATCACGATGGAAGTTGGCTACCTGCAATGGTGCTACGCCTAACGGAGACCAGCCTGTCCGTCTGAACCCAATCCGCTTATCACATCCAGATTCATCCACATAGACGAAGTGATGAGACTGAAAATCCGATAGGTTATGTAGGTAGAAGTCTCTCAAGTCGGGACTCTGTTCCTTTGCTCTCTGTCGAGCTACCTTCTTTGACCACCCGACCGCAGCGAGAGCTCGCTTGATACTGGAATTTGTCACCTGGACGCGGAATTCGTCCCATAAAAAGATTGTCATCTCATCCACATATAGCCCTGGCTTTTCCAGTAGATGATCGCACAATGCCTGTAGCATCGGGGGAGTTACGCTTCGTCGTCGACCGACCTGAGTTGGGGGTGCTCTGACATTTCCGAACCGGCGAAGGTTGTTGCTGATGTTAATGACGGATCGCTTGCTGCATTCAGCAGCTTTGGCCATTTGTGAGGTGCTTAGTGATTCGCTCAATATCATATCTTGGATCATCTCAAGCTTTGAGCGGGGCAGTCTTGGAGCCATGTTGTACATAGAAGAGCGGTACTGTACAAGGATCAGAACGTTGATGGAGGTGGGATTGGGCGGAAGAGGCAGGTAGGAAACCACCGAATGTGAAGAAAAACCAATTCATTTTCTCACCTTGCTCAACCCTCTGCTCAGGGAGCAGGTGAAAACATTTTGGCCGAAAAGTCCGGGGGGATGCTAGGTACTAGGAAATGCACGTGATGCGACCATGTTGGGTCCCTGGGAGCTTTGCGGCCCCTCTCAAAGCTGCGGCCCTCAAAAAGGTGATTGAGAGACTGGCGCATTTTTACTCGATCAATCAGTATCAAAGACAAACTGTGATCTGCTTGCTCTCTAAAAAATTGCGAAAATTGCCGCGATGAGGCTCTTCGGGTGCTGAGGGTAAAGCATCTTTAGAGCGTTTTTATCGAGAACAACTTTGGCTGGTCATCGCGGATCTGACTATTCTGGATCGGGTCGAACCGTTCTTAGGAACAGGCACAAGCCCCACCACATGGAAACATGACCGACAGAAAGCCATTCAGGAAGCGGTGTAGTAGGCAGAACGGCCGATGAATGATGAGGCCGAGGACGTACCCCTCTTTCAGCTCAGGGCCGGTAGATCGACGTGGCAATCATATGTAGTTTAACTGAACTGGCTAAGTTTGTTTCCCCTCTGCCCATCCTCGGCAATGCCCTCCATCGGCTTTTCAGTTTGCCGACATCTTACACAAACAAGAAAGGGCCAGGATCTCTTATTTGCTAGGATAGAGAGTTCTTAATTGGCCGATCCAGTACTATCCCGCTTGTCTAGACACTCTGCTTCGTCGAGTCGTCCTCCATTGAAGATGGCGGAGAACCCCCTATCACAGCTAGAGCAATCAGTGTCACCACAAAATAATACTAGTCCCGAAACATTCTCATGCCGAAAGCGCCTTCGACACGATGCCTATACCATCGGATGGGTATGCGCTCTTCCAAAAGAACAGACCGCAGCCAGAGCTATGCTAGATGAAGAGCACGAACCTCTTCCGACCCCTCGCAACGACCATAACGCATATACTCTTGGCTCAATATGCGGCCACAACGTCGTCATAGCCTGTCTCCCTAATATAGGAACCAACCCTGCCGCGACCGTCGCGACCTCTATGATAAACACGTTCCAATCAATCAGGTTCGGGCTGATGGTTGGGATTGGCGGTGGAATTCCATCGAAGGTCAATCTGGGCGATGTGGTGGTCAGCCAACCTGTTGCTGACTACCACGGGGTGGTGCAATGGGATATGGGGAAGCTGGAACGGGGTGGGCAGTTCATCCACACGGGCTCGCTGAACAGACCTCCGAACGCGCTTCTTAATGCGTCGAATCAGCTGAAAAGTAATTATGAGATGTACGGATCGAAGATGAAGAAGTATCTGGATGACGTGGAAAGAAGATTCCCGCGACTGGCGCCAAAATATACCAGGCGTGAGTGCTTGGAAGACCCATTGTTGGTATCACAGAAGGGACGTCGGACTTCGACCGCATACCATTTTCTGTCTGGTCTATGGCAAGCGGTCATCACAACGATTGCATATCTTCTTGGCTTATGGGCTATCAATCCAGTAATTGAGGAGAATAAGCGGCTGTCAGGGAAGGCAGAGGAAGCACGGACCCAAGGAGAAGTGAGGATACACCATGGCCTGATCGCATCCGGGAACAAAGTGATTAAGGATGCCCAGTCTCGAGACTCCCTCGATAAAGCATTTGGCGGGCACTTGTTGTGTGTCGAGATGGAGGCAGCCGGGCTTATGAATGATTTCCCATGTATTGTTATCCGGGGCATTTGCGATTATGCGGGGTCGGAGAAAGAAAAAAGCTGGCAAGAATATGCTGCAGCCGTGGCGGCTGCACATGCAAAAGAACTTTTGGGATGTGTGCACCCTAGTGTTGTCGATACCGAGGATTCAGCGAAAGCTATGATGGAAAAAGGTTAGTATCTGCCTCCTGATTATTTCGGCTGCAGGTTTCCAAAGTATCAGCACATACCGAAGACAGGATAATATTTGAGCCAAGAATTTGTCTTGACAGCTGATAGTCAATAAACAGATCGATAATGTACAGCGAGCGACAGTCGCCATGAAAGCTACTACCGATTCTATCAAATCTGCCCTTCGTACTCATGAGATTAAAGGCTGGCTTGATCCCGCCGACCCATCCACGAACGCCAATCACGCGAGGGCGCTCCACCATAAGGGAACAGGCGTGTGGCTCCTAGAGAACCCCGTCTTCCGGTTGTGGTACTTGGGATCACGCCGACATATATGGCTGCACGGGCTCGCGGGATGTGGAAAGACCGTTCTCAGCATAACTGTGCTTGATCATCTCGCAAAAGGAAACGACGGTCCTATCCTCAAGTTTTTCTTTGACTTTAGCGACACCAAAAAGCAAACCTATGAAAACATGCTTCGGTCGCTTGCTTTCCAGCTTTATTATCAAGGCGGGGTTGACTCTGAAATTCATCTTGATGCGTCATTTCAAGCGCACCAGAATGGCAAAGACCAACCTAAGATAGAGGCTCTCTGGGTTATCTTTTATAACATGCTCAGAGTCCAGAAGACAGTCTCTATCGTTCTGGATGCATTAGATGAATCAACGTCAAGGGATGATATTCTCAAGTGGATTGAGGACATAGTATCTAGGCCAGAGTTGGCCCATGTCCAGGTGTTCTATACCAGTCGACCTGAGTCTATGTTTCTACGCCGCATTCCAGTTTTGATAGGAGAGGAAGGTTGCCTACCACTTGATGAGCAGGCTGTCAACTCCGATATCCGTTTATGGGTTTCAGACCAACTCTCTCAGCGGCGTGATTTTACAGAGAAAGTCTTGTCACAAGGTCTTCTTGAGGAAATTCGGACGAAGGTTGGCGACGGGGCAGACGGAATGTGAGATGTTGCTGTTTTGATTGACATATAATAGTTTGCTAACGCCTTTACTCAGGTTTAGGTGGGCATTCTGTCAATTAGACAGCCTAGCTCGATGTCGTCACGAGGCAGCTATAGAGGAGGCTCTCGTATCTTTACCTAAGAGCCTGAATGAGACATACGAGCGCATGATGAAGAGTATACCAGTGGAGCGAAAAATGGACTCAATACGCCTGCTACAATTTTTAGTACACGCTAAGCGACCTCTCACGTTAGCAGAGGCTAAAGAGGTAATAGCGACGCAGATCCAAAACGAGTCGAGAGGGTTTGACATCAAGTGTCGGTTGTTCTGCGAAACTGATCTCTTGGATTACTGTCCCGGCTTAGCGATAATCGTTCACGCCACAGATAAAGAGTTACATCTTGCCCATTTTTCCGTCAAAGAGTACCTTCTCAGAGACGACGATTTCAAAATCATGACTGCCAGTATTTATATCACGCAGACGTGCTTGACTTATCTTGCAGACATCAAAGGAAGTCACCAAGAGATCAAGAGGCGTTTTCCGATGGCAAGATATGCGGCCGAGTTCTGGGCAAGCTATGCTGTGTTGGCTCGGGATTCTGAGGATATCGTCCAAAAGACTGTCAAGTTCCTTGAAGAGGAAGAGACATTCCAACGATGGAGTCGTTTATATCAGGCTGATAGGTATTGGGAAGATGACCCTGGTCCTCCGCGAGCTTCCAAACTCTACTATGCTTGCCTCAATGGGCTCTTGGCGCCTGCAGGGCATCTTATTAGCAATGGAGAAGACGTCAACGCGCAGGGTGGCGAATACGGCAGTGCTCTCCAGGCCGCCTCGGTCAAAGGCTATGACGAGATTGTCAAAGTGCTCTTGGATAAAGGGGTGGACGTAAACGCACAAAGCGGCGAATACGGTAATGCTCTTCAGGTCGCCTCGTTACATGGCCATCACGAGATTGTCAAAGAACTCTTGGATAAAGGAGCGGACGTGAACGCGCAGGGCGGCAATTACGGTAATGCTCTCCAGGCCGCCTCATCAAATGGCCACCACGAGCTTGTCAAAGAACTCTTGGATAAAGGAACGGATGTCAACGTACAGGGTGGCTATTACGGCAATGCTCTCCAGGCCGCCTCGTCAAATGGCCACTACGAGATTGTCAAAGAACTCTTGGATAACGGAACGGATGTCAACGTACAGGGTGGCTATTACGGTAATGCTCTCCAGGCCGCCTCGTCAAATGGCCACTACGAGATTGTCAAAGAACTCTTGGATGAAGGAGCAGACGTGAACGCGCAGGGCGGCAGTTACAGAAGTGCCCTTAGGGCCGCCTCATTACATGGCAATCACGAGATTGTCAAACTGCTCTTGGATAAAGAAGCAGACGTCAATATGCGGGACCACGATAACAGCAATGCTCTCCAGGCCGCATCGTTAAGTGGCCATCACGAGATTGTCAAAATACTCCTAGATAAAGGAGCGGATGTAAACGCGCAGGGCGGCGAGCACGGTAATGCTCTCCAGGCCGCCTCGTTTTATGGCCATCACGAGATTGCCAAAGAACTCTTAGTCAAAGCAGCGGACGTCAATGTACAGGGCGGCTATCACGGTAATGCTCTCCAGGCCGCCTCGTCAAATGGCCATCACGAGATTGTTCAAGTACTCTTGGATAAAGGAGCGGACGTAAACGCGCAGGGCGGCGAATACGGTAATGCTCTCCAGGCCGCCTCGTTACATGGCTATCACGAGATTGTCAAACTGCTCTTGGATAGAGGAGCGGACGTCAATATTCAGGACCACGATAAGGGCAATGCTCTCCAGGCCGCATCGTGCAATGACCATCAGGAGATTGTTATAGGTTCATTAGCTAGTATCTGCTTTCAGGACGGACTACCCTTATGATACCCTAAACTTTAGGTATGGCGAGTTAAATGCATGACGGTTCGTCAGTGACCTGATGTAATTTAGAGAGTCAACAATGGAACCATCTTGTCACAAAGTGTCACTTGCCTCTACAATCGCTTACTGCATCGTTGAATGACACGAGCCTACATTACGTGCTAGGAAAGCAAAGTTTCCGTACACTGGCTTAGGAAGCGGATGCGCTAGAGGTGAAGGTCGAGTTTGCCAGGTGGATTAATAATCTGACATGCGACGCGAGCAACGACGTCATGTTGTATTAATGGTAATGGTAATTCATATTATGTATTAGATCCACTCTTCGATAAAACTACCTTTCAATACCATTCAGCCCCTTGAAACCGAAATCAGCTATATATAGGTTAGCGTGTTGAAAGGTGGGGCCTTAAGATAGAATCTCCTTGTGTCAGTGGTGAATCTGATTTCGATCCATGCTGTAATTGGCGACGGGGTGTCAACGTTTCAAGGCTGTTGATACATCTAGCGCTTGTTTTTCGACAACTTGTATCTGGCCATAAATCCACTCCTAATTTGTATTAGCCCTCATAAATAGGATACAAATACCTCTGGCATTCAGCTCGGTCCCTGAATTTCTTTCGATCCCAGCAATTGGCAAGATGCATCGTGGCCCACTCCCTGGAGGAAATGGTGTCGGAGATCAAGAGGTGATCGGACAGCTTTTGTAGGCAATCTATCGTATCGTTAACCATTTTCCTACTAACTGTTGTAAGGGTTGGGTGTCTCCTTCGATGCATTTCTTGTGCCGCCAGTTGTGAGTGGCACGGTATTATGAGAGGCGGAGTATGAGTGTCGACGTTGCTTTCGTGCATAGAATTGAATACTAGGATCTGACCCTCAACACTGTGAAGCTTGATCAATACCCCCGACCAACTCTGATCACTATGGCTATTATTAGTTTGACTGCCAACAGCCCGTCGAAAATTTAAGAAAGTTAATGATCCGAAGAGTACAGTAAGAAGAGGTCTCTATAAGGTACCATGCTTTTTTCGGAGTTTTCAGATTGAATAACATATACCATGTGAGCGATTATACTGTACACAGAATTCCAATTCTTTACTCTGTCTTTTTCTCTTCCTCGGGCAGGTCCCGTCCATATTCCGTTTCTGATTGAACCTCTGATTGCGACCGAGGAAGCCAGAAGCGTGTAAGCATACTGCCTAAAAACCGTTTATCAACCCACTTGACCAGACCATAGAATATCCAGCCCCATCCCCATAGAGATACCCCCATCATGCTTGTGACTGACAACACCGGACCAAGGATTAGTAGTGACGATATAGCCCAGAGCAGTAACGCAATAGCAGCGAAGACAAGTATACCAGCTAAGAATACCAACAATGGCACTCCGCAGCAGATCATTTGACAAACAATGAAAGTCGTGGTGGCAGGGCGCTTTAATGCAGCTTCATACATTGCTGCTTGACGAGGCGCAGGTAGCAGCCAAGAGACTAGTCTTCTTATACCGAACTCAAATCCATCAAACGCTTGAGGGAATAGAGTGAACAACCCTGCTGTGATGGTGGACCATATAGATGAAAACGAGATCTCGATGGCTTCCTCATTTTTGGGCGAAGCTTCGTCGGAAGGAAATTGGCCGGGGATGAACGGGTCAGTCAAGTCTTTAGTCACGTTGTCCAGTCGCTTTTTTGGGACACTTTTGACCCCTTCGCTTATTTCTGATTCCAGTGTATCATCAGGAAGCCCTCCCCCTAGACCACTGGTAGCATTATCAAGGGGCATTGTGAGGACTGAAGAGTATGATTTGCTTTGGATTGATCGACTGGCAAATTGTGCAGGTGGAAAAGGTATGGTGGAAGTGTTTTGCCACTTGACTTGTATTTCAGGTAGCGTGTATTGGCGGTCAAAGCATATATATCTTACCCTTGATATCTATATTGCTTACCAACATTATCAGAGCTATGGGCTGATGATGTGTTGGGCGTTTCTTTGACCGGTTCACGGTTGCCTGCTTGAGAATTCCACGTCATTACCAGCCACAGACGGGCATCCCACACTTATCAAAAGGGTCTACCCAACACATGGGGATAAGATAAAATCTGGTTCACATGTGGCGAAGGCTGCACTTCCGAGAATTTACTTGGACAGGAGCTGCCGTCAGTATCGACCCTGCGACCCGACGTGCCAGAGGTTTTTGCACGGATCATCGCCAAGGCGACGGCAAAAAATGTCTCCGAGCGATACAACTCTGCCCGCGGTCTGCGACATGACCTCATGGAGGTACGGCAATTGCTGGCAGCGGGAGACGCGGCAGTTCTGGAAAGCTGGGAAGTCGCCAGCAAAGATGTTTCTCCGTTCTTCGCGCTCCCACGCACGATGGTGGGCCGGGCAGCCGAGCGAGATGCCGTCGTTGAGGTCCTGGATCGTACTCTGAAACTGTTTCAGGGAGCCAGAGGGCTTCACTTGTCGTCGTTGCCGGAGGACCAATTCGCAACTTTCACCGTCCTTCCCTCACCAAGCAACACCCCCGGGGAAGAGGAAGCCCTTAATCTGGTTGATGAATCTCCCAGCCAGACCGGTTCTGTGAGCGGGACATCCGCTGGGGGTACCCAATCGTATCCAGCTAATACAAGCCGCACGCGTTCCCCCAGAAATTCGTCATACGCCTCAAGCGAGGGTAGCGAGTCCGATCCTGCCATCGTAGAGAGGAAGGGACCAGACAAGCGCTTGTCAGTCTCCTCGTTTGACAGCACGAGTGGCGAGGGAAGCTCCCGATCGAATGACAATGCGGGAAGGTCGGCTGCACATGGCATAGCAACGCCGAAAGGCTTATGCGAGATCATCAGCATTGAGGGAGGGCCTGGGTTGGGCAAATTGCGGTTGATTACATCGGTTCAGATTGAAGCCCGACGAAGGGGCTTCTTTGCTAGCTCGCGATTCGATGTCGCCGACAAAGAGCGTATGCGTCCGGTTCTACACCTTTTTTCGAGTCTATTCCACCAGGCGTTCTCGGAAAACATGAATGAACCAGTTTCCTACTGATATTGCGAAATCACATTGAATCTACATCGAACACTCTGCACAAGATTTTAGGCCTGCCCAAATTGCTTCTCGGTTCGGGCTCCAACTTGCCAGAACATGCGCCGAACAAGTCTGCTCATACGACCCTCATATCACCCCACCAGCGTCCGCCCCCAGAGAACACTGGAACGGAGAGTTCGCAAGAATTTCTTCGGACCGGATCTTCTACCAAGTCTTTGCCTCTTGTACGGATGTTACTGAACATCTTGCAGGTCTTCACGCGATACAAATTGGTATGTTCTCGATTCGATGGATCCCCGCACATGTGGGCGTGAGTGGCAACGAGCTGGCGGATGCTGCGGCGAAGGAGGCTGCGAGAGGGGGGGCGGGTGCGGGTCGGAAATAGGTTCCTCCGGGTCCGATACACTCACAATAAGCCCGGAAATATATCACGCGAATGCAGCTATGAAAACAACAAGTCTTGAGACAAGATATTTCCTGGGTAGAAAGTGTGCATAGAATTTGGCCACAGGTAGGAGAAACCCCAGCATATTGCACTTAAGGACTCTTCCAAACTTAGAAGACTGTGCCCTTGACTTGTGGCACCTTCTTCAGGTCGATATTTCTGATCATGAAGACCCAGACAAATGCTAAGCACATGATACCAGTTCCGACAGCAAGCATTCTGGTTTGCGCATAAGCGTAGGCATCTTGTATAGCAATCCTTGTCTCACTGCCAACTGCATAGTTAAGCTGTGTGGTCAGGTCCTCGTAGATGTTATCGAAGTTTTCCATAGCAGAATCGGGAAGCAACCTCCGTAGGGCGTTCGCGTATGTGTTTTGCCAAATGACACCTGAAATGGTGACATCTATAGTACCACCGACGGTGCCGACGACATTGAGCAAGGCCAAAGCAGAAGCGACGTGCTGGTGATCGACAGCTGCCAGGATTGCAATCTGCTCGCAAATAATAAAAACGCTACCTCCAATCGAGATGAATACTTGACACATGACCAGGTAGCCAACGCTTTGGTTGGGACGGCGGAAGTAGATCATCAGGCCTTGAGCAAAGACGTAGAGGGGAACTGCGATCCATAGAAGCCACTTAAAGTGACCAGTCTTGCGAATCAAAACACCGACAAATAATAGCAAAACACCAGATATCACGTCGAATGTGTTGCTGATGTAACCAGCCTCGGCTACGCTCACATCGTTGACAACCTGCAGGAACGAGGTGAAATAGTAGTTCCAGCAATAGTAGCAAAGCTGGTAGGTTGCATCCAGCAAAAAGGCACCAATGACCGTTCGATTATACAAAAAGCCAACTGCGAGTAGGGGCTTTGGGCAAAACCAGGTCTCGTAGATGGCGAAGACGAACAGCATGACGAAGCCGACAACGAGCATAGCAATAATGTAAGGAGTACCCCAGCTGCTGGGGGCACTACCGGAGATGTCGAATGCGAGGAAGAATGTGCAAAGCCCAGCGGAGAATAGGAAGACACCAAGAGCTGTAAAAACCTTAGCCATGTGCCGACTTTAGGAAACCTTTCAAAATTTACCGTCGAACTTAATGATGTAGAACCAGATGCTCTGTAGGATTGTGCGGTTGCTTTTTTCTTTCACGACAACACTATTTTTTTGCGCCTTTCGGATGTTGATCTTCAGTACAAAGTAAAGCGGGGAGGCGACAATGGGAAAGATGATACAAAACACTCCGATTCCCCAACGCATGCCAATTCCATCCATGGCATCTTCAGCAGCTTTGAATCCGTGAATACATCGCTCGTCATCGCCGGGGGAGGAGTGGCAACGACATGCATCTGCGAGCCCGCAAATTGAGCATTTCATCATTTGCTGAAGGGCCTTTCCTAGTTTCACAGGCCTCTGCCCAAGATAAGTTCCTCGCTTTTGATGTTCGGTGCCGGTACTCGTTACTCACTGATACAGACCATACACCTCCCGACGGATAAAGTCATCCAGCTCCCTTGCCCATTGATGTTTCGGCATCACTCATGTCTATCAGCTAGGGTCAGAGTCACAAGTCTCAACCGCATTACCAAATTCCGCACGTACGACATCTATGAGTCTGGCTATCAAGCCGACCGAACTTCGCCTCTCTACGCTAGTTGAAAGTATGGCAGCATGAGCAATTTATCTTGTGCAATTATGTCCCGGCCAGCTCAATACAATTTAAGACTGCGCCGAACACCGGACTTGCGACCAGCCCAATACATACTCGACCACCTCAGGTCAATACTACAGGGGTGGCACAATTGTCAGCCCAGTGCCTACGAAGGTGAGTCAGAAGTCGTTTCCTGATCAAGGCACTAATAAAGTGCCCGGTGGGACAGGCCTTCAAGCACAAGTCAGGCGAATGATCAAGGATTCAGACTACGATAGACTGTCACCATCCAGCCCATCTTGAATCAACGCAAACGTCCCCGGCGTCTCGCGAGAATTGAGATTTGGATCAATGTGCCAGACAAGTCTCCCAACACACCCCGCCGTGGACAAAAAGCTATTGTGGAGCTATATATGTACGGGCCAACGAGTGGTGAGATCCAAGATGAAGGACTGTGAGTGGACCCCTTATCGCCGGATATATACTGACTTCTTTTGAAGAGTCACTTGTCAAGTACGATACATTTAAACAACACAATGTGCATATACTCGCAGTCCTTGAACAACGCATCCTTCCCCTGTGAAAGATCATGACTCGACATGAACAAGGAAAGCAGTGGCAGACGAACGTCCGTGGTATTCGGCTGCTCAGAAATCGGCGCGCAAGCTTGAGAGCATAAGATCGACTGCGGAGGAACGGCAATTCACCTGGCGCCTCAACGTCAAATTCCGACACCGAGTGTCCCTCGCCAATCCCGACAACTTGGTACTTTCAGCCGAGACGCCAATTATGAAGACCACCGTCACACTACACATGCATGGCCGGATGATTAATGGCGACCGAATTAGCTCCCATGCACTCCTGGAGCCCTTGGTACTCCCGCTTCCCAATGTGAGCAGCCCTCATCGTGTAGACTGAGGCAGGGATCTGAGGCGAGGATCATCACAAACATTCTTTGCCTTTAAGCTCAAATGTTGAGCATTGGCTCTTTTGCCAGACTCTCCAAAAAGTCACCTGGTGATTGGGCAGTGCCAAGATGAGTTTTTTCGTTTTGAATTCTGCACCGTCATCCAATTTTCGATCGCCCGTCAAGACGCTGATCAATTATCGGAAAACGTGAGTCAAAATTTCCTTTTCTGATTTATTTGCTAAGTTGTGCCCAGCAGAATGTGCCTCCGTGCGACACACAAAGCACGCCATCACCGCCGCAGGCGTTTGACTGCCTCGTTCCGATATGCAGTTCATGTCGAAGTACGCGTTGCCGGTTTCTCAAACGGAAGGGCATGCTGAGCAACATGCTCACGAAGGACTGACCGCCACGGATGTCTGGTTTAGGTCAGTGCAATGGCTGGACTCGGTCGGCCTTGTGGGAGTCGGCCTTGTGGGAGTGGGCTTGTGGGAGTGGGCTTGTGGGAGTGGGCTTGTGGGAATAGACTTATGGGAGTTGGCTCGTGGGCATTGATATGTGGGCATTGGTCTTGTGGGAGAGGGCTCGTGGAAGTTGGCCGAGAGCTAAGAGGAAATCAAATACATCTGCTCAAGGTATGCTCCATGGTCGTTTCACTCTGCTACAGCTGTGACAACAACTAAAAGAGAGAGAGAGAGAGAGGTCCAAAGCGGTCTTAAAAAATTGACTAGAGTGAGCATTGGCTGAGTCGAAACCTGGAGACCGGCAGAGCCACTGCGTGGTCTGTATTATCTACTGGGCTTCCTCGGAGGGATCCAACCATAAGGTAGAGTCGAATACGACAAGCGGTGAGGAGATCCGATGTCGACTGACGTATTTGAAAAGGTCATCGTCATGTGCGGACCAACTCCTCGGGATGTCGCGTAAACAACACTGCAACGCGCGTATGGGACGGCCTCACCGCCTTTGCCGTCGCGTCAGACTGACTGGTGGACCCGAGGACGGGAACGGTCCAGCCTCTCTCGCTTTGGAGACAGCAGGCTGATTTCCGATCCATGGAAGTGCGAGCGCCGACACCGTCCTGCATCAATGCTCGACAAGCAGCTCAGCTGGTTAATGTCTATTTTCCCGGCTAACTCTGCCTACCTGCTGCGCAACCGACTTCCACCGATCTCGAGGGACACTGCAGTAGTCGAACGAATCTGCATTGCAGCCTGTTATACACTCAATTTTTGCAATGACATGCTATTGGACGCTTTTCTCGTGCTTTAAAAGTTCGCGAACGAGACAAGGCGAAAGCCGAAACTTCAGTAGAGCTTCAGCACAGGGATTCATCTCATGCAATGAGAATCTCGATGGATGGACTGTTTTGATGCAGTGGTTGGACATGACTACCAAGCGGCACGTATGACATTGCGGCCGCTGGTATTTGATCTTCTGATCTTCTGTCGGTAGATCGATCATGTCCAAATGTGGGTGACATGAAGTCACATCCGGTAGCCATACAGTGCAGTCTGCAAGCTCAGCAAACCGGGCCTGACTGTCATTTAAAAGCTAGCAACCGAGTGCTACTGCCGGTGGATTAACTTCAGCCGACAAGGTTCCATGAGACCTTTTCATTGCAGGCATCACTGCTTGGCCATATCAGTCGTTCCGAAGTCTGGGGGATCTCATGCAAGGTTTTATAAATTTGCGCCGTCTCTCGCAGTATCGATCAAATTACATGCTTGCCGTTCAAATGGAATGGATCTTTCTCGATTCCCGTCGGCTGCTGGCCCGAATGCCACCATGCTTTCCAAACACCCCCTGCCATCTCATCACGTGACATATGGCTCCGGCCCCGATGCTGCTGAAGAGAAGTCGATTTGAGCTTCCAAGAATCCATGCCCAGCTTATTGGCGAATCGAGAAATTCAGAGATTTTGGTACTCGGTGATATCAGTTTCACCCAGAGATTCACTCTGCTAGGTGTGGGGATCTATGAAGAGACAGCCATGACCATATAGGGCTATCGTCGAACTACCATGGCAGAACAAAGACGGGGTCTTGCGTATTGGTGCTGGATGTCTAGCTCAGGTGCTTGTCATCCAGGTCCAACAGTGAGACTTGCACCACGGTGGTGTGGTGTGAGATGCGAGCTCGGTGTCTCTACGTTGCATCGTGCTGTCAAGTCCCTGTGACATCTGCGCCATTGCGTACATCTCTGCAAGCTGTGTGAAATCATCTTTGCTCGCTCCAGGCCCTTCGCAGCGCGCTTTGTTGCTCCTTTTCCTAACGCAGCAAGCTCTGCTGACTTTGTCCTCGAGAATGCCATCGTGCTGGATGCGGGTGATGCGTCATGACACAACGCTTGCTGGCCACCTCATCAATCACACATCTCAGCTATCGCACAGTCATGTGTCATCAGACACACAGCTGTGCGTCGCTGCGTCGCTGATGTCTCGCAACGCACGATCACCACAAGGCCTTGACTTGCCTTGCTAGGCACATCTTATGTTCCCCGTGAGCTGCTGACTGACGAAGAGTACTTGTGAGGTTCTTTCGTAGTATTTTCAGGTCTTTCATCTAGTCTTAAGAAGAGTGCTCGTCATGCTGTGCAAATTGTAGGCCGATGATGCAGGGCTCATATAGCTTCCTGCTCGATACTTTTCAATCCGTCTGTGTAAGTGCCTTGATAAACCCTCGATGGTGTATCATCCTCGTAGACTGGTGACTGCTATCGGTAACACAAATGCAATACACCTTGCTATTCGATGGGCGTACCACGGCAGCCTCGTCAGGGTGTGGGGCAGGGCAGCTTATAAAATGTATATACACACTGTACGTGCATAGTGTCGTTTTGTCGAATCTAAAGCTCACCGCTGTATTCAATTTCATAAGGAGCCTCCGTTTGTGGCCGTGGAGTTGCTGAACATTAGCTTCATATTTGTATCATACGTGCTTGACTTCGAACTGACTGAGTCCCAGTTCTTCCATCTTCCATGATGTATAGCTGTCATACTCTAATAAACCGGTGGTAAGCTTCATTGGTCATGTGTCTGTGAGGCCATTAGAGATATACAAGCCACGCGCGCGACTCTGATGTCATGGCGTCTGTAGACCAAAAAAAAATGTTTTTCATTGATCTACAGAGGTGCGGCTACAATATATATATTCAGTATATACCGGGAAGCTCTAGCCAACTGGATTCTTGGTGTAGGGCCTCCCAATTTAACGACATGATGTAGCTTTCCTTTTGTACACAACTGCCAGCCCTTTGTTAAGACTCTATTTCCTGTCTAGAAGGACTTGACAACGGCTGTTGGCCTGAGGAAAAATACAGTGATGTTGGTGGGGTCTTTTCCCGAGTCGGACGAAGTGTGGGCGAAGGGTGACACACCGCCCGAGCGACACCGTTTGTCAACGCATCTAGACTCAGCATTGACAGTCTGCTTGTCGACGCGTCGGCACTGTCATCATCGACAAATTGTTGTCAGTGCTGGTCACCGATTCCAAGCTGGTGACTGTTTTCCGATCAGGCTCAACTATTTCAGAAAGCCAGTCAACGTTTTATCTGAGCAAACTCAACTATTTACGGAAGCTCAGTCGAATGTTCACGCACGATCATTTTACTGTTCATGAAGTCGTACTCGATTGTTTGTTCACAATCATTCAACTGTTTCCACAGCAGCTTAACTGTTTACACAGCAGCTCAACTGTTTACACAGCAGCTCAACTGTTTACACAGCAGCTCAACTGTTTACACAGCAGCTCAACTGTTTACACAGCAGCTCAACTGTTTACACAGCAGTTCAACTGTTTACACAGCAGTTCAACTGTTTACACAGCAGCTCAACTGTTTACACAGCAGCTCAACTGTTTACACAGCAGTTCAAGTGTTTACACAGCAGTTCAACTGTTAAAAAGCCGGTCAAATGTTTACGAATGGTCTTTCAACTGATCATGGACGCTCATACAACTGTTGATGAGAAAGACTCAA